CCTCACTCTCCCTCATCCCTCATTTATATAACCTGGCTGTGATAAAGGGTAAAGGCACATGACAAACTTTGGAAACAAATGCAAACACGCTGGGACAGAGACTGACCGAAGCAGTTCAGGCAGCGCTGGATGAGCTCATCCAGGCTGGCGGCGCTGGCGCTGGGGGCCGAGCGGGGGCTCTGCAGGGCCCGGGTGATGTCCTGAGGACTGGGACATGTGTTCCTCCTCCGCTGGACCAGCTTCCTGCTCTCTCCATTGGGCTTCCTGAGAAAGAGAGAGCGAGAGAGAGACAGAGTCAGACACAAACAGGGAGTATAAGTAGCCTAGAAATAAGTAGAGCAGAGTGTGGTGAGGTAGTGCAGGTCAGCATCTGAGGAAACGCAGCTCCCTCACATCTGATAAGCTGTTCTGCAGCGCTGCAGCTGCCTCAACCATAACGCACTGGCAAAACAACTGCAGGGGAAGGAAGTAACAGGCCCTGCCACGGACAGGTGTATTGTATTGCTTACATGCTGTGCTAGTAAAAAGAAGTTCTGTTGTGTTTGGTCACAAACACCCATCCTCTTTGGAACACGGAGCCCATATATTTGTTGTTTTAAACTCCTTTAAATGTGAGTGCCGAGCACAGCAATATGCGATTAGTTTACAGGATATAAATGATTATAATGACCACGAGTGGTCAAGTGGTTTGAAATAGCAGGTGATAGCTATTTTGAGGGCTTTCGAAAAATGTCTGGTCAAAGTTGCCGATACTTTAGTACTAATATTACTAGATACCAGTGGTGGGCCGTCAGGGCCTTCAAGGCCTTCTCTGCTGGCCTAAACAGAATCACAAAGTTATAGCTATTTTTTTCTTAAATACACATGTATATTACATGTACATTATAAAAATATTTTCCCCATTAGCTTATTTTCTCATTGCACAGCTACTGTCTTCCTCAGTTGCTCTGCTTCCAGTGCAGCTTGTTTTAAGTAGAGCTTTTATCCAATCAGATCTCACCTCTGTGTCTCTAGGTAAGGAGAGAGGCCCGAGGCCTGCAGACTCACAAGTGAATCCCTTTGCAGTTTAAGTGAATGGGGACGATATTGTTGATTGTCATAGTCTTCAACCAATCAGATCTTTAGTTTGACATGATGGGCGTATTCTTTGACGTGCCAGAGCCTTCTAGCTGGCCTACAAGTATGTCAGCATTAACGAGCAGCTCAGTTTTAAGGAGCGGCGCTGCAGTAAGGTGCAGCGTGCGCTGTGATTGGCTAGTTTAGCGTAGCCTCCCAGAACAAGTGCGGTGCCTCAGCTGTTTGTTTTTTTTTTTGTTCCAGTTCAGAGGTCACAGCCCGTTGTCTCCTACGTGAGCGCAGAAAACATTATATTTCCCACAATTTAAGCTTCTGCATTCTCCAAATGCACTAGTATTATTCAAATGTATTGTTTGGTTCGTAAGACTCGTACCGAACGGTTTAATACGAATACGTGTATTATTACAGGGGGCTTAGCCCCAAGGGGAGTGGCATGTTTGCGCACGTAGTGCGTGACAATTTCTTTTGGGGCCCATTTGGGGCCGTGGATATCCATTGTTTCAGACAGTTCATAGATTGGTTCAATCAGAAAGAGTGTGATTTTGCTCTGTAGTTTTACTTGCATTCAGTATATGATAACACAAGAGACAGAATTTTAGGGTCACAGTGAAATTTGACAACACAAATATGAACTTTTCTCAAATAAAGAGAGAGAAATAATTTTCCTGCTTGTAAAGGAAAGACGGATAAACTAGCTTTCATATCCGCGTCACTCCCAAATCCTAATTCTTAAAGGGACCGCACACAATGGATGGAGAATGGACCTGACAGTGTCAACTTTTGAGTTGTTTACTTGTTTTATTATGAGCAGGATTGTAATTGGAAGGGGGAGAAAACATACAATCCAGAACGCACGCACATATGTAGCATGTTAGAGTTATAAATAACTTGTCCATGTGAGAAACAATAGTTCAATTTAATGACATCACCAAAATAAAAATAATCTTTTTTTTTTTTTTTTTTAAAGCCAATAATGCCAAATTATTTGGGGGGCCTGAAGAACATTTTAGGCCTAACGACGCCCCTGGGCGCCATCATGAGGTTATTAGGAGATGTTTCAGTTTTGAAGGCCCAGGTATAAAATCCACTGCTAGATACTAGTGTTAATGCATGCCTTTAAATAGTTGTTGCGTTACACCCACGAGAATCTGGAGTCAGGCTGAAAAAGTACAATGTTGCGTCACACCTGAGGTCAGCACTACAATATGTCACACATCTACACCGATACTGCTTTTCTCCAGTGTTTTCTCAGAAAAAACGGTTTCTTTTAGCGCCTGTATGCGCTCACACGAGAGAGTGTGTGGCGTACGTGGTAGGGCGATGTGATTTACAGCATGGAGGACACGGGAGACGAACACACGCTGCACAAAGCAAAACTATGACAGCATGTAAAAGCTCAGCATGTTTGGAGGCTCAACAATGAGAAATAAAACCATTTCAGAATATAGTTTCACCTCCTCAGGTGTCTAAAAACAGCCCATCTGAGAAGGAAAGATGACTCCTCGGCTGAACTCCCAGGGATCACTATTAAGTCCTCAAGGGTTAGGAACAGGGAGAGCCTGGACTAAAAAAGGAGTGATGTAAAGTCATGCACAGCATGTGGACCACACCTTTGTTGCAGCTGGATTGATGCTGACTGAGGTCAGACAGGACAAAAAAACAACAACTTTCAGCCAATGAATATCAGGGAGCAGTGCTTCTTTCCTGTAGTCTTGACTCTTTAATTAAGGGCTTCTCATATGCCCTTAAAAAGACAAATGAGACTGCTTTGTTCCATGATGCGATTGCTTCCTCTTCAGATCAGGGGCTCAGTTTAGCAACATCTGACAGTATTTCACAATAATCAGTAACCCTTTTCATACTGCTCTTTTAATCTTCAAAACTATCTCTGCCTCACTTTTGCAGTTTGAGACTCGAGGCAAGAGGTTTGAACGGTGAGCCACAGAAACAGTTTGTATCTGGGCTGTGAAACCGCGGCCTACTGTCCCGATAGTACCAGGAAACACTTTGACTTCAAAGAACTGGAGACAAGTTCCCTGAATGACCAGACCTGCATCCCCTTCTCTTGTGTGTGTGTGCGTGTTTGTCACACATGTAGTGCATAACTCAGCATCGCACACATGCAGCATCATGGTTTGCTTTATATGCATGTCACATGGACACTGGTGTGTGCAGGCGAACCTGGTGACTTTAACTGATCTATTTGTGCCACGTGCCTGCCTGTATGCGTCGTTTCACACAGTTATCACACCACACAAACTCCTCCTCTTCGCCTCATTACATCAGCTGGCTACTGACTTCAAAACACTGAACAACACAGCATGTTACACTTGTGTTCTTGAATCTTGAATGTCCATGCTTTAGGATGAGATGAAGGACTTGAAGCGTCCCCTCTCACCTTAGACCTTGTAGTTTTCTGTCCCAACTGTAGAGCCCTTTGAGGCTAATGTGTAATATGTGATTTAGGGGCTGTGTAAATAATATTGACTTCACTTGACTCCTCTGTTAGTTGAGAGAAATAGCCAACCAGTAAACAATGTCAAAAGGGTTTAAGACGCCTAAAGCTTGTAGTTTTCCTAAGCTCCTTAAAACGGATTTAGTTTCTGTGAAATTTCAAATTTTAATTAGTTTTTTTTTGTCATTTGTAAAAACACACTAAAATGACATATAAAGCACCATTATTGAGACTGACACTCAGAGAGCAAAAACCTCAGTTCAAGTCTCCAAAACATTGAACACGTGACCAAGTGACCAAAATACATGCCTGAACACCTAAATGCTTGATTTTCGACATGTCATTCAGGATAAAAGCGCATAAAAAATACAACAGGTGAGTTCCTCTTTACAACAACAATGGAAACCAACAGAGCAGTGAAAGGCCTCTTTTCAAAAATGTGTATGAGCAATAGAAAAAAAATGTAATTCATGTTTTCTTTGAAGTTACCACAAAATGTTTTTTTTGTGTCTATGTACTATATTCTATTTAGAATTAGTTGTGTTCAGATTTTCAATGCAAAATGCTAGCGTTGGAAATGCATGGATGTATTGACTTGTGTTTACAACGTGGACAGAAACAATCATCAGTGTGCAGTACTGCTGGTCCTTCTGTTGTTGAATATATGACTGTAGGTTTTCAATGAATGATAAATTGATTCAAAATATCAACAAAGTGTGATCGTCCCTATCATATGTCCCCAGAGCTCGAGGTAAAGTCTTATTTGTTTGTCCCAAAGTATTTAGTGTTTTACACAGATGGAAAAAACAACAGAAGCTGGAACAAGTGCACTACTTTGCATTTTTGATTGACGAATGCATTTCCATTTCTAAATGTATACATGAATATCTCCGTGCGTATCTTTTACCAGCCTGCGTTTTATAAAGTGCAAAACTGAAACGATTGATTCATCGCTGTACATTTTTGGCGAACCGGTGACTTTCTTATCTCAGTGCCCTTTACAACCTGTCATCTCTCCCTTTGACTCAGAGCGAATCTGTCTGTCGACATGAGAGGACGAACACTCGCTACTACAAACAGAAGTGCTGATGGGGAAATGTTATTGATGTCACGACGTCTGTCAGGGAATTTCCCCCAGAGTGCCGAGGAGGTCGCAGCTCTATCTTTTCTGTGTAATGAGCCTGGCCTGGCTTAAGAGACAGAGAGCTGTTTGTAAATACAGTCAGCGTGTGCTGGACTCCCGCGGGTTACTGTTTGGCTATTTGCATTACCCTTTTTTTCCGAAGACAACATAATAATGTTTAACTGTGCGTCCATGGAAACACATCGCCGCTGACAGTGGAAAGGGGAAATCCTCCTGTGAATGACACTGAGGACAAAACCCCGAGCAGCCTCTTCTCTGAGTACTACTGAACGAGTCTGGGTCCATCATATCACTGATTTGGTTTGAGGAAGACCTTCCACGCCTCCTTTTTCCTCACTTCAGCCACTTCTTTTCCTCTTCCTTCATCCTTGCTCTATTCAAGCCATTCAGGAAACAACTTCTCCTTTTTTTCCCCTTTTGGAAATCCCCCCCCTCCCTTTCCCATCCGTGTCAAGACTCCTGGCTACAGATCCAGTCCCCTCCTCCCCTTTCTCCCTCTTTCGCTCTCACACTGGCAGGGGGATATGCAAATACCTCTCTTTCTTTTCTTAATTGATTAATTGAAGCCAGGGCCCTTTGAAGGCCTTGTTTGTGAGTGTTCTCTCTCTCTCTCTCTCTCTCTCTCTCTCTCTCTCTCTCTCTCTCTCTCTCACAACCTGCGTTCTTGTTCCCTCTGCATGTATTGCACCGATCCGTTCATGCATTTGGTGCAACAATAAAGCCACTGTACCACCATTGTGGTTGGCATCAGGAACATTGCAGTAAACATCCACGAGGTATAAACTGTTTGGCACTGAAGCCACCAATCAGTTAGACAATGAAGTCATACCTGTGGAACTTCTGACCCTATCAGTACTAATGTGTGCTTTCTCTCCATCTTTCATTTGTCATACACACAAGCACACAAACTATCACATACACGCACACACACACAGTAATGTTTTCATGACTTTTGGGGACATTACATTGACTTACATTCATTTCCTGGAGTATTACCTGAACCGCTAATCCTAAGCCATACTCTTACACTAACCTTAACCTAAAACTAAACCTTAACCAAACCCAACCTCAAACCAAGTCTTCACCCTTAAATATAACGATTCATGTCATAGGGACGTGCATTTTGTCATTTTGTCCCACATTTCTCGATACTTTTCTAAAACTGTTCAGGCAGTTCTCTTAATCTACATTCAATTCAGCACAACAGTTAATAAAACATCCATAATGCAGTGCTGCAACCAAAACAGGATCACTTTGTCCCTCATCACACGATGACCTAACAAACCCACTATCAACAGGTAGCATTACAACGTGTATCAATATTGAATTATCTTTATCTACTTATTTAGCATGAACCAAGATTCCATTGCAACAAAAAGGTCACTTCTTCATTGCACGGATTGTGCCGCCTCACACAAAAGGAATCAGAAATGCTGCAGCATGCTTTAATGGGCTTTTTCTTTTGGTTGCTATTTTTGCATGTGCGAAAAAAGAAGCAAAAGTATTTCCAGCAATGCGCAACAAAACTATATATATATATATATATATATATATATATCCTGAATGGAATTACTAGATAAATCCCTGTCTTTTGCCTTGGGCCACCTGTTCTCATCCACAACTTCCGTCCTCTCTCACTGAACACCTGGGAAAGAATATTTCTGATCCATCACCGGCAATCTTTAGTAGATTATGTCCAGACGTCCAGCATGTATTGTGTCCCGTGGGGACATCCGATTATGTGGTTGGGGGAGTAATCACCTGTCCACCAACATGAGGAGAATAATTCCTCTTTGGAGATGAGGAATGGCGAGTGAGGCGGAAGCACAGGTGACACCATCCTGCAAAGGGCTGTAAACCAGTCTGTGAGTGGGAGAGGGCGTGCAACGTCACATACCGTTACAAAACCACCTGACCCCTCTAGTTACCTGGCAGGTCTTTCAAAGAGCAATGGGAATACTTTGTCTGTGTTGTATGTCCCAATTAAGGGGTTATATTAGGAGTTTCATATTTAAAAAATTTTTTATCAAATTTATTTTTGTCTTTTAGACGTAGCACTACGTAGCATATTTTTTATCAGTCTAATTTTACAGTCATTTCATGTCATGTTGGTGCTTTTATGGTTCTGAATGTGCATTTAACAGGTTTTATAATAGTATGTAAACAGCGTTTTTATTTTCAGTTTGAGTGAGAAAACAGTTTGCATTTTGGCATCGGCTTCTGTTGTGCTGACTGTGTGAACTCTTTTTGAAAAAAGTGAACTCGGTATTAAGAAATGCGCGTTACCAATTGTTTAAAAAAAAAACTAACCTCCCCGCTGAAGGGGAAGCACAGCAGTGCGCCGCTCCGTCAGTCCACCTTAAACTCAGGTAGCTGAATCACACATAACACACAGCTGACTACCTTAACATTCGACACCCAACCCTGTCATTCCAGGGAATCTGATAAGAGCTGCGGTCAAAACTACAGCAGTACAGAAAAAAAGTACCACTGAAAACACATCAGTATCTAAGATCTACTGCAAAAAGAACACAACCAAATAAACATCATGAACAGACATGTAAATGGAGATTAGCATGGAAAGGTGAGCAACTGTTGAACGTCAGAGCTTGTGTTGTATACACACAGACCATTTGAGGTGTTGGTATTCTTTACTGACATACAGGTCAAACACATTAGCTGTGGCTGCGCTGCGTATGTGTCATGTGTGTCTGTGCAACCTTTCTTTGAACACCGAGCCTCTCTCTCTTTCTCCACAGCACACTGTCAAGTTTCATAAAAGTGGCCGAGAACGCACAAAACTAAATGCCCTCATTTCTCTTCAGATTGTCAGGAGCCTTTGAACAAACCACACTGCCTCTCATAACCTCACAGCTTCACACGTCTCGGCTGCACACAAGCTTTGCTGACACATACTCAGACTCAACACTTGCTAAGACTTGCAAGTGGGGGTCCAAGTGCGCCGGGTTCTCTCACTTTTGGTTCGCTCTCCTCTTTTTTAAAAAATTACCTCTTGGTCTTGTTCATTGCAGAGCTCTTCTCCTCAACGGCACTCCTCCTCCACTGGTAATCCGCACGGGCATCTGAGCGTGTCCCCTACAGCTCCATGGTTGACCCTGCTCCTCCTCCTCCTCCTCCTCCTCCTCCTCCTATTCCGTGTCCTCTATGTGTTAATGTGCCCCGGGCAGCGAGAGCGGGTACAGGACGGAGAGCTGCTGGGGCTGAGGGCTGCCTACCTGCCGGTCATCGACTAGACTCCGCTCCACTGCTTATCAATCCGCTCTGTGTCAGTCAGCCTCTCTCTCTCTCTCTCTCTCTCTCTCTCTCTCTCTCTCTCTCTCTC